GGGGGGTCAAAGTATTGCATCGGTGCGTCATGGAGCTTCCACTCCCTCTCCCCCTTTTTTTTTCCTCGTTTACATCGGCTGGTGCGGATGCTAGGTGGGCTTCAGTGGCTTGCGAAGCCCCGAAGTTCCGTGACTGTACAGTGACTTAGACCCCCTCATGGGATTCGACTGAGACGACAAATGCACGCCGCCACTCACGCCTAAGGCGCGGCTCACCCGGTGCAAGGCTCCCCTCAACGTGCCGTCCAAAAGATGCAGCGCATTCTTATACGGATCAGGCGAGCTTGACAGCGGCAGTGGAGTGCCGATATTGCTGCCGCGGCTCCTTTTCTTAAAAATATCTGCAGAAGAGCGAAGGGTCACGGACATGCGATTACCACAGTCACTAGATGGCATGTCAAAGCGCTTTGCTGCCGCTGTCGGAGCCATTGATGGCGGTTGTGACATTGGATTCACCCTGGCGAATGCGTCTTCTAGCGCCCGAAAGGCGTTACTCAAACCCACGAGAGAGTCGCGGATGGTGGTCAAAAAACTCTCACGAAACGTGCTCAAGTCAACGGCGGCGGAAAGTTCCCGCCTGATGTAGCCTGCAACCTCCTCCAAGGAGATTTGTACAGAGGCAGGAATGGTACCGCGGGACGCGGTTTGTTTCGCCCCCCATGCCGCCTGACGGGAGGGCGGAAGAGGACACTGGGAACTGTTTGCTTCCTGCCACCATAATGTTTTCTTCTCCGTCTTCTTTAAATGCTTCCCCGAGGAACTGGATTCCTGCCATGTATTCTCCGACTCCGACGCGGGAGGGGTAAAGAGATCAAGGCGCTCCCACAACTGCCGCGGCACACATGATGCAAGTGCCAGTTTACTCAACGGCTGCGTTTTCGCCACCTGCATGGCAACCTGCAGCAGGAGCAGTGAACCCTGCAACGTTGACCCGATGCTAGACAGAGCAAGCGGCGTCGCAAGTATCTCACCACCGCATGCACGAAAACCGGCATCCGCAACTGTTTCTATAGCCGGACCGTATACGTCCACGAAAACGCAGTCGTCTCCATGAGATGTTCTGTTACATTGATAATCGTTAGACACGTGGACCGCCATTTTTGCACGGACACCATTAAACAACATAATGCCCGTCTTTGAACTTCGTACATAAAGTGTGGCCTCCAATTTCATTAGTTTTTGTGGCCAGTCCAGCGTTAAAAGTGTGCGTTGAATTTGCAGCGCCGCTTCCAAGGCAGACTGAGGCTCGTTGAAGACAACAATGTATGCCGCGACAGAATTTGTCTTGGCGATAAACCCATCGTGAGCCAGCACCGCAGCCTTCACAACGTGATTGTACTGGGCCACAACCTCCCTGTATAATTCATCTGAGATTGCAGCCGCGAGTGCGAACATTTCTGCAGCGTCGCAGAAGAAGAAACCCAACTCTGGTGTCGTGCATGTGACGCCGGATTTCTTAACGACAGCCCACGGCAGACGGAGGCTCTGCTGAGCGGTGAGACTCCAGGCAGTGTCTTCCGCGGCCATCCTTGCCGCTTCTGCCCTCTCCAGGATTTGTTGTTGCTGCAGTAGAAGCCGCTCCACTTCGTCGCGGGCCATGACTCGATCGTTAAGCTGCAGAGCCGCCCTGACGGAGCGACGCGGGGTTTCCGGCTCTTCTCCACCAGCCTCCTCCCCCAAGGGTTTACGTGTCTTACGCCTGAACGCGTAAGACTTGGGCAGCACAGAATACACGTCCACCAGCGCGGAGCACGACCCGAGAAAGAGACCGCCATTCCGCACCACGTTGTACTCCATGCTCGCAAGGTTCGACCTCGTCGCGTAGAAGGCCTGGATGACGTCGGAAGCAGCGAGAATTTCCCCGTCGCCTGCCGCCTCACACAGACGACCAGAACGAGCTAGCGTTTTACCGCGGCAAAGTAGCATGGGAGCCACCCTGCAGTCGGCGGTCGTGGTGGCGGCTTTTACGTCGTTCATGACACGCAGCTGCCCCATCGTGATACCGGCTCTCATGAGGCACAAGTTTGACTTGGTGAGCGCTTCGCAGTTCTGACTCACCACGGTGTAAAGCTGGGCGGCAAAGCGCAGAACATGTTCTGGCCGTCGAAAGGCGAAGCTGAAAATGTCCTTCGTGTTGCCATTCACGTGAACACCGGAATTATTCCTCCCATTTACAATAACAGACGACAACAGTTGATCCCGCAGGTGGCAATGCTCTTCCAAATTCATAGATGCCTTACTAATCGTTCGCCAGGATGCATCACTTCCGATATCAACTGTACACACGTACAACGTTTCACCTGGGTCAATGTTCTGGGTTCGGGCAAAATACAAGTCCTCTGCCTCCATCGCCGTCTGTTCCTGAAAGGCGACAACTGCTTCAACCCTCTTGTAAAGACATATGATGTTTTCCCTTTCCTGCCGCAGCGAATAAAGTGAAAGCACATCCGTGCAAGAAGTGTCTCCCTTTTCAGCCGCACGCTGCCTCTGACGGTAGAGACCGTCAACCCACCCTTCCTGCTGCTGTTGCATCTGCAGCTTTGGTTGTGACTGCAGCTGCAGTTGCGTTTGCTGCTGCTGCTGCTGCTGCGGCGGCGGCAACGACGGCTGCTGCTGCTGTTTTTGAGTGCCAACAAGGGTGAGCCGTGACACGCCTTTCATGGAGGCAATAACTTCTGGAAGCAAGGCATCCACATCAATAATGCCACGTGAAAATAGAGGGGAAGGGTCAAGTTGATATGGCGGCAGCCCGCGGCGGTGCTCAAGGGATTTGGGAAGAACGGAACAGAACAGATCCGCCGCAGCATGTTTTACCGCTATGATGCTCCATCCAGCACCCAATTTGTCACGGAGATGGCTGATGTCTACGGGGGTAATGTCGTGAACGTCATTCACAATGTTTGTTTCTTTGCAAATCCTTGTCGCCCATGTCTTGTTTGCCACCATTTCACCGAGGGGAGCATCTTGCAACGCCGTGGTGACGGCGTCCCTAACCTCCTGCCCGTAGTACAATTGCCGTCCATTGATAGGGTCCACTTCTGACCCCGGGGTACATGTATAGATGCAAGTGTGCATGCGAGGACCGCTGTAGAGCAACTCCCCGTTGTCAATAATAGGCGCAAAAAAGGGAATATCTGTGGTGCGTGTCGGCCATGGGAGATTTGCAACCCCAATGTGGCACTCATTTGCAAAGTAAAGGGCGGCTGTGGCACTGTGGAAGGCAAACACCTCTATTTGCTTTGTGCTACAGACGTGGTATCCGCTGTACTGCCTGGCCGCTCCCAGCAAAAGATCCTGGTATATGGCCATCGTAAACTCCCATCCACTCAGGTGTAGGGATGGTCCATTCGCCACAACGTGAATAACAAACGTCACTTCGCGAACAGGAAGTTTCGCCGCATCAAACCTTTGAGCATAATAGAGATCATCATGGGTCTCCATCAACACCGCTTCCATGCACTCCAGGCGGCGTAGCCCTGCCGCACGGACTCGAGAAGCAATTTTGGCCTTTTCAAACGCCATCTCCACACGATTTGTTTGCCGTTGTCGTAACACATCATCCGCAACCCGCTCCTTTAGCGCATTGTTCTCACGGCGCAGTGAATCATTCTCCAGACGCAGTCGGTCCACCTCGTCCTTGAGCACAACAAGCTGGATCTTGGCCTCGGTCTCCATCTTCAGCATGGCCCCACGCAGCTCGTTCACGGTACCGACAAGCTCCTCGTTCCAGTTGCATATCTGCTGCACGCCATCCTCCTTAAATGGTTGGTCAAGTAGAGGCGCGGAGAGTAGACGCCGCATTCTGGCGCCCGGGCGAGAGTCGTTCCTACGGGTTTCAGATAGGGTTTGCTCCAACGCCTCCACGGTGGCCTCCAGCTCGGCGATGCGACGTTTCGCCTGGTCACGGAAGATGATGAGGTCCGCAAGGCGAGCCGCCATGTCGCAATTGACATCACTGTCTGCCACTTCGTCTTGGGACATGTGGACACGCCCCACTTCTCCTTGCGGTGTTGCGCGTGTCAACGAAGAAGCGGAACGGTGGAGCACCCGCACACACACACACAGAGAGAGAGAGAGAGAGAGAGAGACGCACACGCAGAGACACAGACACGCAGGCACGAAAAGAAAAAGGAGGAAGTGATGAAAAGAGTGTGCAAGAGGAGCACATCAGGGCAGATGTTTTCTCCCCTCTTCTTTCGATTCTTCTTCGTCGCGGTACTCCTCAACAAACCGCACCATCACCGGGGGCGGAGCGACCACGGGCCTCCAACCCCCATCATCGTCGTCATCATTCTCGGCCACCGGCACCTGTTGAAAACTTGTACCGCCTAGCAAACGCGACAGCAATATATCTGCCGATTTAGCGACACTCTTTTTCTCCTCCTTGAGGTACTGCAGTTTAACATGGAGTCGATATCCCCAATCCTGTAGCTGCTCCCTATTCTGCTGGATGTGTCTGAGCAACTGCTGGAGAGAGCCAATATTGTCCATGTTCTTCTTGATCGTTTCCTCCCACTCCCCTGAGACAGTGTCATGCATCTCCATCAAGATTGCCTCAAACCCCTCCCGTAGCTGCACCTCTTTGCGGAAGAGGAAAGTCAGCATCTCCTCACACCGACAGAGGGCCCCTGTGATAGCCACAATGTCGTTTTCAAGACGGTTCAGCTCCCGCTTCGACTCCATCAGGGTCTCATTCGTCAGAGTGTCTTCCTGCGCATTATTTGCCTCTCTGCCGCCGCGAGGGTGTAGCCAGCGGAGGACCCACCCCCACACCATTCACACGGGATTCTCCCGCCCATGACTCGTGAATGACATTCCGACAGAGCGAGAGAGAGAAATAAATAGAAAAAATAAACAAAGACGTCACACTCTGCCGATGCGAATCCGCACGAAGATAATAGCACCGCAACTCCAACAAAGTGAATCCACCCACAACACGTAGGAAGGTAGCATTGCAGTATCGCAGTGCAGGGATATCAGCCAAGAAAATTAAATTATATGAAAAAAAGAAAACAAGAAAAACAGGTAATAGTGTGTATTTATACGCAATACAACAGTTTCCATCTAAACAGTTACATCTTTGGTTGCAACATTTTTTTTTTTCCTCTCGCTGTTTTGTTTTCGTGAAATATTCTACGAGGACGTGGAGTGACATCAGGTACGCCCATAAGCAATGCGTATGTATTGTTACATGGCACGGAATGTAGGCCCGTGGCTCGGGGGAAATTGGGGCAGCGGCAGCAGCGCCACGTGTCCACCCGCGCTCTAACAGCCCACAAGAAGGAAGTACGTGGCACCCGCCTCAGCGTTCACACCGTCCCACCGTAATAAGTAAAAGCGAGACGCACATAAAATGTGCCTCGCTTTAGATCCCAAGGTGGGAGCAGAAGAGCGTTTAGGCATGCGAAAATGGCACTCCAAAGAGGAAAACCGTAGTCCATAAGAGAAAAAAAAAACAACAACGAGTGCAAAGCATCCCCTAACCTTTCTAGGGAGAAGGCAATAAAATTTATCCGCCCATTATCACACAAGTGCCGTCTGCGAGTGACCGCTGCAGGTCAGTACTTCGGCCCATTGCTCGTTCATATTCGCCCAGGAGGCAGTTTCCCACTTCTCTATGGCGTGACGGATCCTTTCCTCATTTCTGCTTAAAAAAATGCCCCGCCGTTCATTCTGCGCAAGACGCATTATGGCACTTCGCCGTGCTGCCTCTCTTGACACGATGCGGCAGATCAACTGCTGTGCCAAAGGTAAGCCACGACGGCGACGTGCTTCAGTAGCTCGCCCACGGCACTCTTCGTCCTCTGCCGGTGCTGATACTGACGCTATTCCTGTCGCCGCTGCTGCAACATTCGCCCCACGCATTGGCGCTTTTGCTGCATTTTTATTATTCGAGTGCCGTCTCTTGTGTGATTGCTGGGGCGCGGCGCATGGCGGAGTCGACTTCTGTTTCCACCATGGTGTCGCCGCCGCCGCCGCCGCCGCCGCCTCAGGGCGACGCTGATACTTGAACATGCTGCTATACGCCTCCCGCACACGCGCCACTTCCGCTCTCCAGTCAAAGTCAGCCCGCCCACCATTTTTCGCGGACCGCCCCGTGTTCTTCGTCTGTGCGTGATTCTCCAGCGCCGTTTCATAGGCGGCGTGCAGCGCCTGAAACTTCTCCTTCGCGCCGAGGTCGGTGCAGCGGTCCGGGTGGGTCGTGACCGCGAGTCTGCAATACGCGGCACGAATGCTGTCGTAGGAGGGGTTTGTGTCTAGACCAAGCACGCGCCACGCCCACCGCACCCGGTCGTGCTTGTGAACGGTCCCCACCATTTCTCGCCCTACGGCGCAAACCAGAAGCAACGAAAAAAAAAAACAGAAGCAATGAATGGGAAGGAAGGATAAAACGAAAAAGAAAAGAAGACCGAGCGTTAGGACTATTCAAAGCGCCAATGAAAGCAGTTAACTACATCATCTGCGGCTGTGTGCGGGTTACAAAATGGGCGGTGCAAAGAAAAGCAAAAAAAGGCGTCTGTGTGCGCGTGCAACACAACACAACACATTAACTGAAACGTAGCGCGAGCGCCTGTGCGAGAAGACGCCCCGCACGCCGTCGTCCCAGGTCCTCCGCGGAGTCCTCCAACGACCCTGTCTCTCCTGCAACTGCACTGCCGCCTCCTTTCACCGCAGGAATGGCGTCCCCGGAAGCTGCCACCGACTGCAGCAGAGCTCCGTGTAGCCGCTGCAACGTCGTCTGCCCCTCCACACCCTGCTCAATGTAATCAGCGACTGCCCCAAGCAATTCGCTGTCAAGGGGGACATTGACGGAAGCGGCATGGCGCCGCTGAAGCTCGGCCAGCGCCGCGGTTAGCTTCCCCACCAGTTCATCACGGATGCTCATCTTCGCGAGAAAGTCGGGAATGAGTAGTGCCGAGTCCCAGGCAAAACACGGAGAATAGCAATGGTAAGGGAAAACAGAGCGGATCCGCGGCAAGTGAACGCGAGTGCATGAAAGAAGCAAAATGAGAGGCACCACACACACACACACACAAACGAAAAAAAAAAGAACTGCCGCACTTGTAAACATAAACGGGCATCTGTCTCTGCTCCTCTGGAGGATAATAATCTGTGGACTCTGAAAGTAAGCCGTAAAAGAAACCACAACAAGAGAATGCCGACAAGCAAGAACAGCAGCAATAGCAAGGAGGAAAGCCAGAGTCATCGCCAGCTAGCGGATGCCCAGCTCATGATCCACCGTCCAGTCCTCCAGTTCCCCCAGAGACTGTCCAATCTTCACCGTCACAGGGAGCGGAACGAGCAGCGACACGGCGTGAGTCATGCTCCGTGTCACGAGTGGCACAATCTCCCGCAGCTTGTGTGTGGGGAGGGAGAGGACAACCTCGTCATGCACCTGCGCCAGCAAACGCACGTCTCCACTGTGCGACTGCAGTACGTCGCGCTCCAAGGCCAGCATGGCAAGCTTCATAACGTCCGCGGCACTTCCTTGAACGACGGAGTTAAACGCCTGTCGTTCGGCGTACGATCGCTTTGCCATGACGCGGTCGTTGATGTCGGGGAGGGAGCGGATGCGACCACTCAGCGTGCGCACAAAGCCATCGGCACGGCATTGCTCAATCACGCGACGATGATACCGATCAATATGCGGGTAGGACGACTTGAAGAGTGACATCACATGTAGTGCCTGTTCCATTGAGCCACCCATCTGCGTTGCCAAGGTTCGGGGTCCGGCGCCGTAGAGCATGCCAAAGACGGCCCGCTTCGCCAAAGTTCGTTCCTCAGAACTTACAGGTGACTTTCTAAAGATTGTCTCGGCAATCTTGCGGTGAATATCCGTTGCGTTTGTCATGGCATCCACAAGCGCCGTGTCCGCAGACAAATGGGCCAGTACCCGTAACTCAATCTGTTCATAATCCACAGACAACAGCGTCAACCCGGCAGGTACGGCAAAGCAACGGCGGAAGGTTGCCATTTCGGCCTCGTATGGTTCACTGTTGTCGTCTTCAGCAATTGCCCTGGCACGTGGGAGATTCTGTAGGTTCGGCTCCACACACGAGAGCCGCCCCGTGTCCGTCCCCTCCTGAACAAAGTTTGGGTGCAACTTGACCCACTTGACGTGAGCAGCGTCCACTTTGCCGTCAGCCTCCCCAACACGACTGTCCGCAAACTCACTGTCATCCCCAGTAAGAGGAAACGCGGTTTCCATCATGCCAACAGTGTAGGTCTGAAGAAGTTTGGCCGTTTTGCGATATGCGATCAGCAAGCGTGGCAACTCATGGTGTGGCGCCAAAAGCCTTAACGTTTCCTCCGAGGTTGAAAGCTTCCCACTCTTCGTGATAGTAAGGGAGCAACTGTCTGTTCCATCGCCCCTGGTGTGGGTCAGGTGTATGCCTAGTTGCAGAACTTCGTAAATTGCCGCTCTGCACTCATCCAGGTTCTGCATGTTAAAATCTGGCATCGAGGGGACAAGCTTCTGGGCGGCACGCCGGAGTTCTTCCATCCTGGCGGTGCAACGCGCCTTGAAACCCTCCACCTCTGACAAGTTGACGGAGAAGCCATTGAGTTTCATGGCAGCACATAGAAGTGATATACGCCTTTCCTGTTTAAGGAACGACGGAAGAAGGCCCTGCGTGCCGAGTTGTCCATAAAGTAAACGGTAAAGCGGTGACATGTAATACACTCGATGCGAAACCAGTTCCTTCACTGTCCAATTTTCCATGTTTCCCAGCCCTGTGGCAGGACCAAGTTGATTTTGACAGGACTGAAGCAATACGTCATAGTCGGTGAAGGCATCCGTACCAGCTGAGGGCTGCAACATCCACGACATGAGACGAATATCTGAGACGCATGAGGTAAAGAAATTGCCCTGCCTGTAGGAGAGAAGTAGAAGTAGCAGTGATGGGGCATTGAACGTCACAAGTTCAACTCCAGGGAGTTCTTCCGTAACACGCACCAGAAACACTAGAGCAACGGAAGCAGGCAGGACGAATACATCATCTTTCCAGCGAAGGACGAAGAGATGCGCCTTCAGATGACTCACCTCAGGGTTAATTCCGCGCAAAAAGTGAACCTTCCCATGCGTAGCTGCGGAAATGGAGAAGTTCGTCTCTCCCTCGTGTAGGATGAACGCCACAAAAAGTGTCGGAGCCTGAATACGATCTGGATCCTTCAGTGTCGCCTGCACATCCTCAAAGAGAGCCGTACTACTGTCCAGCTCCTTGAAGGCCACGGGCTCAGCCTGACGGGAGATGGACAGTGGTTCAGCGGGCATCGAAAACAACGCTCGTCGCTGTGGCACCTTAGTCCTTCGATTGGGAGTAGTTGCTGCACGGGAATTTCGGGTGTTTGACTTCTTCTTCTTCTGTCCCTTTTCTTGTTGCTCGTGTGGGGTCGTATCTTCCACGGCGGTGGAAGCTCTACCCTCACTAGGAGCGGACTTTCGCTTGCTTGCGTGTTGTTCTTCCAACCCATCCCCGCGTTCGCTGAGACGTTTTCCCGCAAACGCCGCAGCCAAAGCGGTCGCCGTAGTCGCAACGCCACCACCACCGCCAGGATCACCCGCCGCCTTTCTATTCGTGCTGCGGCTGCTTTGTTTACTTGGCGGCCCACGTCGGGCGGAGGCCAGACTTTTGGCTTCCTTCGCCGCCTCCCCAACACGTGAGGAGAGCTCAAACAGCTTCCGATGAATGGCCGATACAGAGCTTCCCTCCATATTTTTCTGCTTCGTTTGCTGCTGCTTCTCCGCTTCCACGGCACCAGCGTCCATTCTCTGATTGCACTCCGCCACCACCATCACCTCCTCCTCCTCGGCCTCCTCCTCCACAAGGTGGTGATGCACAGGTCGTCCAGCGCTCTGCTTTGGCTGAGCGGCCGGTGAGAGCCCATGCATAGCACCCGTGTTGAGGCCGAATGCCTGCCACTTCTGCAGATTCTCGGAAGTACTGAGTCCCGCCCCGCTGCTGCCGTCTGCGCGTCCCACGTGGGAGAGTTCAACCGGCACGTAGCGGTACTGCGGCTGCCCTCGGGACGACATGGTGGCACTGGCAGGTGTATATCCTTCCTCTCCCTCTCTCTCTCTCTCTCTGTCTCTCTCTCGGAGTGTGAGTGTGTGTGTGTCTCCGACGAAGGTGAAGGACATGGGGGGCAAAATGCACCCAAAACACAGAAGAAAAGAGGGGCAACAAAAACGGTACAATAAACAAAGACACGGCGTGAATAAACCAGGGAAGATGCAGCAAATGCGCTCACTCGAGAAGGGACTTCTTCCCAAAGAGACTCCCCAATAGCACTCCCTCCCCACGGCCGACGGAGAGTGGAATAGGAGGCGATAGTAGTAGATGGAACCGCAGCGACACAAGACCAGAAGAGGAGGGCGCCCTGTAAATATTTGGAAAACAAATTAAAATAGTAACAAAATGAGATTTCATATGCAGCACAAAAATAAACATCAAAAAAAATATATGAATAAATAACCAATACTAGACAAACAGCCATTCCTCGCTTTTATCCCTCAAAACGGGCTTTCACTTGACTTCTTTAGTTGATTCTGAAATCTGCCACAGGCGTCGTAGTCATTCACGCGGCGACCACTGAGGCTCAACACACGCTCGGGCGAGCGAAGCATATCCACTAGCTCAAAAAAGAGCTGCTGCTCCAGTAAAAGACTGTCCACGTAACCATTACTGGCCAAGGACCGTGTCATGTAAATGTATCGCAGCAACTCCGCAATGGGGTCGGGATTTGCCACTTGCATCAACACCACACGATGCGCATAGCCCGTGACAGCGTTGCGCAGAAACGTCCCAAGCGCCAAAATAAAGGTTGTGTAGAGCGCAATGATCCCCGTGTTAGGCAGAAACACAAGGGAGGAATCAAGAGCAACATCTGACGATGCCACAACCTCAAAAAGATTGGTCATATTACTCTCGTTGGTCGCCCTCATCCACGGTGCCTTGCTTCGTCTTGCCGCACCCGCCTCAGACGCGGATCCAATTTGCTTCACGCCATCCCCATTCCATGCCATGTCGGTTGGGCCGCCAGTCAGATTCGCAAAGCGGCGGCAACGGACACACCAATACAAAACTGGAGGAGCTTTGCCGTCACTGCCCCCAACACTGTTGAGCTGTACCTCGCACTCCCCCCGTACCCTCTCCTTCACCACCACAGCACTTGGTAAGTTGTCCACAAACGGATCATAAAACTGCGGTAAAGGTATCCACTCGCTAGCCTCATACCTCAGCGTGGCTGTGGAATTAGACCTTTCCTCATCGTCTCTCAAACGTCGCGAAGCGTGCAAAAGGTGCAGCTTCTCCAATGCGTCCCGCAGCCTTACCACGGCACCCCACGGAACCACGTACTGCCGTCTGACACGAAGCCGTCGTGTCGCCCCTGCGGAGGCCACCCTCCGCACGACGTCATCCTGCTTATGTATGACAAACACGGTCTCGTTCTTTGCGGCCGCGTTGAGCTGACCTAACAACAGCAGTCGTGTTTCCGGCGTGGCACTCCACACCTCGGCACTGCAGCTTGGGAACACCAGCAGCTGCAACAAGCCGCCGGATCCGTACCCATCCTGCCGCAGCATCGGTAGCGCATTCCAAAGTTCGGGAAGCACGGTAGGCGAAAGAGGAACATCGGTGCCTTCGGCCGCGTAAAAGTGTGACGTTGTACCAAATAGCATCTTTGTCCGCCATGACTTCACCAGGTTCGGAGCAACGTTTGGGCTAAAGGTGGAGTACAACGCCAGAGGAAAGAATAAGACGAGGAGGCACGCGGCGAAACCCACAACGCCTTGGTAACCTCTGACCAGGAAGGGGAATTGGCGTCCCTTCTTGGGGCTTGTCCACGCCAAGTCGCTGATGTCGACGTAGCGCATATACACTGTGTGGTGCACATCCTCGAGGAACATCCAGTGCTGCAACTTCAGCGCTGTGGGGGACACCGACCAGTCGAGCAAAAGCCGTAGTTCAAAGAGGAATGGTATGGAACGATACACAACATGACCCAAATAATGGAAAATGTTCGTATGTGTTGTGAAAGGGTCGTGCTTACGGTGAAGCGGAAACCCCTGCTGCAACTGCAAGGCGCTCATTATTAAGGAAAAAAACCTTATTAACAGAAGCATGACTGCTGGCGTGGTGGTACGATGGGCGAGTGTGAGACGCCAGGCCATGAAGAGACAATGGTACGCCAGCGTTGTCAGAAAATGAAGGCCGAATTTGAGCTGAACCGAATGCAACACATACACGATACGCTCGGCTGCCACCAACAAAACACCCACAAAGAGGATGAGTACGAGTGGTCCAGGAAGAAGATCCTGCTGCACGCTGTGGAGAATGCTACCACTAGAATCACCTGCTAGAATAAAGTAAACCACAGCAAAAGCAATAAGCGATACGCTGTCCGACCAGAATTGAAGCGTGTAGCAGTCGGATCCGGTTCCGTGACGCGTACATACATTGCTCCAGTAATTATGCACCACTCCGCTTTTGTGGGTGGCCCTGTCTCGCCATGTTTGATACGTGGAGTAATGTCCACTACCATTATAGTCATTATTGTTAGTATTAATACTAGTGCTCTCCCCCTCTTTAGTATTCGTCTTCAAATTCTGAGCTGAAGGTGTTTGATGTGTCCGTTCTTCTTCAGACATCGTACCCGCAGCGCGCGAAAGGTCACACTTCTCCGCATCCTCATCGAAAGACCCACTTCTGCTCGCCGCGTTTCCCTGTTCACGGTGAGGATGAGGTTTGTGGACTTCCCCTGCTTCTTCCTCACCCTCGCTGGGTCTGCGTGCCAGTTCATGCTCTTTGGCAAATACGCCGTAATCGGAGCACAGCTGTAGATGCAGAATGATGCCGAGAAAGACAATAAAGTCCATCACAATATCCAGCGTCATGGCACGAGAGGAGGGCGCGGTTCGGTCCAGGCCAATGTCCAACACAGAGGCAGAGAGCAAATACAGCACGGTGGGATGAATGGCAAAATTTTGAATAACGACTTGCATGACACACTTGGCAAGAATGGAGACAACGTTATAGATGAGGGCATTTCGCCAGTAGCACCGCCCCGACCACGGCAAAATAAGCATGCCATAGAGTGCTGCAGAGAGGGAGAGGAGCATATCCAGCAGCGTGCCGCTAAGCGCATAGTTAAGCATGAACAAAATGTAGCACACGTGGGACGATCTACGCAATAGGAATTGCGTGAATGCAACCAGTAGGCGGTAGCCCTGGGAGTATGTCCGTCGAGGCGCCTTTCCGCGATACGTGCGGGAGGAAAGATACTGCACGAGCTGCTCCAACCACTCTCCGATCGCCTCCGACAATTTACCAAAGATCCCCTCCTTATCTTCTTCGTGGATGGGGGAGGCAACTTTTTCCGCGGCACCGTCACTCGCCTCCCCGTTGGACGCGGGGCCAGGGCAACCAGCGTCCGCCCCCGTGGGCGCCTGTTGATGCGTCTCGGACTGGCGTTCTTCTGTTGTCTTCGGCGCGTCAAGGCAGGTGTCTGACCGCGACGCGGCACTCCATGGACTCCTAGCACGCGAACTCCCCGCTGTGGGGAGCCACACCCTTCCACTTGAGAGCTCCCCTCTTTTCTCCCCCTTTTCTGCTTCGTCGTCCTCCCTCCCCGTGACCGTCGGGGCCTCAGTTTCGGGTTCGACGCGGCGCGCGTGCATGTTTCGTTCCGCGAAAAGCTCTTCCAGTTTCCGCCTCAGTGCCGCCTCCTGCGTGTGTATTTGACGCCGCATCGCCGCGTCCCTGCGACGAAAATGGCCGATCATCTCTTTGTGCCGCCCCACAGCCGCCAACGAGCCCTTGCAGAGGCCAATGAGGTAGGCCGCAAAGAAGAACTCACTGAAGAAGCGTTGCTGCACCACCGCCAAGAAGAGCACCAGCGCCTGTCCCACGATGGTCCCCTGCGACCAGGGAGAGAAGCCAAGGGAAAACATCAAGTTCCCTGTGCGGGTCATAGCCGGAGGCGACAGTGGAAGACGCGCCACAAGCTGGGGGACAAAGGTCAGAAAGAGAAACAGCGTAAAGAAGGGCCAAATTTTGTGCGAACGCCACGCAAGGTACCGCTTGAAGGTGAGGATCCAGAGCGAGGCCACAATTTCCAAGACTCCCAGCAGTGACGACATCGCGACGCCCTGCACGAATGCAAGTGCCGCAGCTGGTAAAAACACGCAAGACAGAGAAATTACGAGCTCAAACAGTGTCCTTGGGTTTCTTATAATGTCGCGTGAGGAGACAGGCAGGACGTTTTCGATGTCGGCGCGGAGAAGCTTCTGGCAGTCCTCCACCGCTTTTGCCTTCTTGCAGAGGAGCTCTCCGAGCTCAAGGGCGCCCTCCACAGATGGAATGGTTGCCCGCACCTCCGCAATCCCCTGTCGCATGCAGCGTTGCATCACCACTACTGCAGTCATGAGGACAAAGTGGTGCAGCGGAAGACGGCAGCCAAAGTAGTGGTCCCACGCACCACACTCCTCTGGGTGCAGGACGGAAACGCCTACCCACCCCTCCGGCAGCCCGAGGCGGACAAGGTAGGAGCCAGCCAGCGCGAGCACCATGAGAAGCTCCTGGGGCATTGCGTAGCGGAACTCTGTCGTACTCCGCACACGCCCAATTAACCACATCAGAAAAAACTCAAGAATAAAAACCAGGCCCGTAGCATGATCCAGCGTAAGGGCGAGACCGAGTACTACAACAAGAACCGTTAATTCAAAGGCGGCATCCAGCAAAAATCGGGTTCGAAAGTAACTCCACATAAAAATCAGGTGCTGGTGGAGGGTAACAAAGCCAACTTGGGGCGCACGCACTCCACGCACCGTCTCGCTCTGCTCCTGAGAGTCCGCAAACGGCACATACGTTGTTCGAAGCTCTTCGTTTTTATGCGTCGACTGCATCTCATCATGCGCTGCATGGACGCGATGACGTGGATTCTCACTCATTCGCCCTTGTCGCTGCGCGTCCTGTTGATGCCGATCGCTTCGGCACTTCTTCGTGTGCGCGTAAAACACCGCCGCGGCGCAGACCAGGAGGGGCGACAGAATACTCCATCTCTCTCCACTCTCACGTTTCTGCAGACCAAAGAAGCGGCTGGCACTGGCAGAGAGAGGAACCTCCGGAATAAAGAAAAACGGATACACGTAATTCAGCGCCATGCTAGCAACAGCAACAATCACCACAGGTATGCCGCGGGAGTCGGTCAAGAAGAGTGCCATGAAGGCCGCCCCCAGGACGGAAAAGTCGGCTAAACTCGCATACAAGAGCGAGGCCCACAGCAGCAGCTCACCCCTTCTTGCGCCCAGCTTGCGAATGCAGGCAAGGCCAAGGGAAAGGTACCGTGAGACCTCAAAAGCCAATGGAACACAGCGCCCAAGAAAAGTACCGCGCATTTCTATGTAGCTGCAGAAAAACAACTCCATCCAATTTTCCCCGTCGTTTTGCATAAACGAGTTCCCCGCATGCAGGGCAGGATTGCTCCTCATTGTTTCCACCTCCTCCTCCGCGTCGTCTTCTTCTTCCTCCTCACGCGCCCTGCCACGGCTCGCAATCAGGGGCGCATTCAGATCTTCCATCGCTTCTGCACCTCTGCCGTGGTCGCCTTCCTCCTGACGTCTATTTCTGCCTCGTGCAAGGGCCCCGAACCGATGCCGGCAAAGCGCAACACAAAGTGCCGCCGCCAGATACCACGGAAGAAGTTCCAACGAGACGGCACCAAATTGATTATTCAGTGAGAGACCAACTTCCAAGGCACAGTTCCGCACCGTGATGTTATGGCAGACGGCAACATGAGAAAGTTGTTCAGCAAAAGCGTTTGAGATGACTGGAACGTGGTAGAGGGCACTGATAAACAACACCATGACGTTGTAGCTCCCCAGCACGAGCAGCGTGCCACTCTCCGCAAGCTGCGAATACGCACCGAGGGAGAGGTAGAGGAGGAACAGGAGCGCAAACCCGGCAATAAACACATTATGAGGAATGAACAGCGTCATCATCACAAGAAGAAGGGCTGTTGACAAAATCAATACATTTTGGTGAAACTGTGGGAAAAAGGCACATGCCATGTAGCAGCGCCATTCCATTCGCTCAAGTACTTCTCGAATGGTGAACTCCGCACTCAATTCTCGCCTCGAAAACCGCATTTGCAGCACCGCCAGCAGAAGCAGGAAAAAGTACACCAGCAGGAGAAAAGGGTTCCTGCTAATGAAGATGCCAGTGACCTCCATCCAGGCAGAAGGTGCAACATTTGGATGATAGCTGGCGTTGTAGACCATGACGATAAAAAGGCCTGCAATATGCAGCGTCGTGTATGCAACTATGATAGGCCAACAGTGCAAGATATACCGTGGCGCACACGCCAGACCAAGAAAAAATAACAGGTACATGCCGTTAAGGATATCCAGCTGTTGAACTGCCATAGAGACAGCGAACATGGCAACAAGGGAAAGTGTTGAGGTGTTGAGGTAAATAATTTGCCTTAGCATTGCTGCCGCCACATACGCTCTGCTACAGTGTTGCATTCGGTACGACTCAACCTCACTCACCAACACAAGAAAATCAAGATAGGCGATGCTGCCACCAGGTGACCCAGCGGCACACCTTGTAGAGCAGAACGCATCGGTGCGTCGCCCTGGCCACCATCGGCGCTGCCGTCGACTTTCATCTTCCGAGTTGTCTGCGGGCCCAGCATGGCGCACGTACTCCTCCACAGACTGAAGGCCTTGGACCAGGGTCGTTGTGAATGCTTCCCTCGACAACACTTCCTTCTCCCCAGATGTGCACCTTCCCTCCACAGCACCCGTGCAACAACTGGGACTACAACGTTTTTTAGTTTTATCCCAGGCCTCCACATCCGCTGCTGCTTCTTCGTTGCCATCGTCTCTGACGCCGCCGGTTGACTCCGCGCACCGCACCGAGGCCTCTCGCTCGCCATTGCGAGCGGTGGGGAGGTTGCTTGGCGGGTTGCGTACCGTGTCGGAATTCACTACAGCGTCCAAGGCACCCTGATTTCCCGTTGGGGTTACTTCTGGGCCACTATGCAGGAGAACCGACTCACCTGCCGTCAAGAAGCGCCAAAGTGAGTCCACGTCCGTTTCCTTGAGGTGTGTTGTCTGCACCACCTGTCCTACGAGAAAGGCAAAGCTGCCACGACTCACCGTCCCTGTGGCAGAATCGCACACCTGCTCAAACATCCACCGTGTCTCCTCCAGGTGGCCATGAAGACGAGCAAATGCCTTTTGAATGTGTGCCTTCTTCTCTGCGAGCGCTCTGTATTGCCTTCGAGTGGGATTCGCACGAAACATGCACACAGCCAGGACGAGTAGGGAATTAACGCCACACTGAGCGAGACGTGTTACAAAGGCGGACATGCCCGTGCCCACATAAACCATAAAGCATAGCTGCTGCAAGCGACTGTCTACGGTGGCCACAAATTCAAGCACGACCCCAGCCGCAACTGCCACGTAGCAGAACGGAAGCACCACCACATAGGCTCCGGACGATAACACAAAACCAAATAGAGAGGTTATAATCATCAGGACGGACACGAGATCCATGACCATAAAGCTTAAAAATATCATTAATGGTACGGTGGCTCGCGGTAAGTAATGCCCCACTAACCGCTGCATTCTCTTCACCTGCGCCGGGTATCGTACAGTGAAGATTTGCCACAGCAAAAACGGTGGGTCATAAAAATATTCCCTATGTTCCTCCAACTCCCGCATTGAGATGCAGCGCCAACTTCCGTGTACATAGCGTGCGGCCAAGATGGTGTACGTCAGCAGCAAAAACTGAACTCCTTTTCGAAGAACCGTAACACGTTGAAATACCTTTACCCAATTGCGCTCATACCACAAGATGCTCCACGCCTCACTAGGCTCTTGGTGCTCAAGAAGAAGCCGCTGCACAACCGGCGACTGCGCCGAGAGTCCTCCCACGAGCAGTAAGAGGCCCAGCAGAGCACACCCTTTCGCGGTCACCTCCACAACGCGAATTCGTTCACGGAGAAACAGTGGAAGCAGAAATGAGATCATAAGCAAGAAAGGCGCAGCAAACACGGGCGTGTGGTCGTAAGCGGGATAGGTAGAGGAGGTAAACGTTGCGAGGACGGCAAGGCACAGCAGGGAGCTGCGATGAAACGAGCGGTTGGGCTCCAGCGAAGGTTTAAAGTGTTGCTGGCGGAGGATCACACAGAGCCCTGCACTTGTGGCAGCTAAAAAGACAGATGACACGACGTTCACGGTGAGTGGGAAGAAGTCCTTCCCTCCCCACACCCCAAAGCTATTAAGCACTGCCTTTGTCCCTTCCTGTCGCAGAGTTGGGTGCCCGAGCAGCCAACCAAGGGTGGCGGCAAGAAGCAACTGGATGCAGGAAATAAAGAGACTCACATACAACAAATATCGAGGGGGAAGAAGAATTGGAAGCAGCGACGTACTTTCTCCTGCGGGGAATCGTGTCGGGACATCCTCAACGCCGTCATTCCCAGCGTCCCCATCGTGTGATGTGCGGTGTCGAAGCCGATGGCCCTCGTAACGTGCGGCAAATATGAGATTCAAAACAAGGAGGAGAGCCGCAATGACGTTTTGGCCCAAGAGTGCCGGTATAAAGAGGCAGTGAAGATAAAATACGGCGAGAAGAACGCACTGCAGTTGCGGCGCGCACAGCCGCGACGCCTCACCGATGCACGGCATACGCATTCCCCACTGCAAGCGCGTGCAGTTTGAAGGTGTAGCCTTTCGACGCAATGTGAGCTCTCTAGCCCTTCCCTCGCCCTCGCCTTTTTTTTTGTGCGTGCATCGCATTTGGAAGACTCATAAGGGAGTGAGGGGGAAAGGACTACAAAAGTTCAGGAGTGACAGAGCGCAGAAAAGCATAATATTAGCCACGTGGTCATACAACTGAAGCCCGTACTGCTAATGCTGCGCGTCAGGGAGCGGGGGTGCGCAGCAAAGGGGCTGCGCTGAGACTTCTGTTCCTTGCGAGCCGCACTTTTTACTCGGTGCTCAAGTCCATAAGCAAGCTTAAAAAGCGGGAAGGGCGATGATAACTCACCGGCACACCTCCTCCCTCCCCCAACTGCTGCAGCTCTTCGCAATGAGCACGTCAAAGTCAAAACACCACACTACTTCTGCTTACACACACACATATATATATATATATATATAAACAGAAAAAGCGCCAATAAACAAATAAATACGTACGCGACAGTCTTCTCGGAAGGTGCGTAGGGCGCAACTCTAGAGGAGGATCGCTTCGTCACCAGCATCCATGAGTGTCACATACGGAGCAAAGTACATTTCATCAGGAACATCATCTCCGGGCACGGCACATCCCCCAGCACGCTCCCACACTTGTGCTCCACTGCTCACACTCTCTCCACCACGTGCCCTCACAGTTCCACCTCCGTCACGTTGCCGCATTACCGACGCAACCTCGTCCTCTTGGTCTAAGTTACTCGTGCGAAGAAAAACGGACACTTCCCCATAACGCGGGCCAACGCAAGTATTAGGTAAGGACGAATCATTGAAGGAGCGTTTCTCCCCATAGTACGCGTCACATTCGCCCGCTGCCATCATACGCCAACTAAGTCGCACAAATGCCTCATAAGGTCCTTCCCTAACCACCGACCGAGGACCCGTGTTGTCCACACTATATTCCCCGACATGGCTTTGAATTCGACGCGAGAAACACCTGTCAGCTATTTTTTCTCCAAACATTCTCCACTCGTCGCTCCAGAGAAAAATGCCATTCGTGGTGCAATCCACCGAAAGCGTCATGGGTTCCTCCCAAATAAGTGGGGTCTCAAGGATGCGTTTGTCGTACATTTCCTGTTCTTCTGCCGTTGGTGGGCACCACGATCTACCGCTCTCCACAACGCTGCTTTGCAAGGGGAGATACTGAGGCGCCACGGAGAGCAGCACGTGGGGGGTTTCACTTGTGGACTGCAAGTGGAAGTCCACCTCCCACGCACGATAATCATCGGGGGACCGCGAAAACGTGCACTCATGGGACGATGACATCTTCTCGGGATTTGGCACATCACCACCTCCATTTCGACGTGCAGCTTCTCTGTTGTCAGATGGCTCTGTTGGCCGCTTCACACTGAGCCCGCACCGGCCACTAAACGCGTGGTGTGAACGCCATGTGTGAACCTCCGTCGCGCGCCCCCTCGCAAGCGGCACCCCATTGACGTCTAGCATCGCATCCTGCGGATGGCGCCTTGAGAGCTGGCGCAGGTCGGAAAAGAGGAGTCCCTCAGCCACTCGGTCAAAAGACCAGCAACCCGTCATGAGTTGCTGTTGTTATGTGAGCAACAAACACGTGGCCACCGTGAGGCAATGAATGGGGGAAAATAGGGAGGAGAGAAGCGATGACCAACTACTGTAAACTCTCGCCACGCAAGTAAAGGGGTGCATGTCCGCCGGGAGCAATGAAAGCAAGTGGGGGCGCAACGGCGACAAAAAGGCAAGGGGGGGGGGAAGGCAGCCATGAATGGGTGTGTGAGAGAGAGAGAGAGGCATGACCTATTCCATTCAGTCACTGCACAAACTCAACGTAATGAAAATGTTTACAAAGAAAAAAAACCGTTTTCGTCGTGCCTTGCATCGCCCCCCGACGAGGTTGGATTCGCAGCAAGCACACGCGCATCCACCTGTGAAGGCCCCTCCCTCCCCGCACGCAAAGGAAAGGAAGAAACAAAATGCACCGATAAAACAGGGTCGAGCTAGCGGGACTGCGAGGCAAAACACGTTGCGTAACGTGTTCCTCCTTGCATTAACGTGAAAACTCACTTTACCATTTTCCCCTTTCCGCTCCTGCGGCTTCTCTATTCATCCAGCCGTCAGCTATATCGCACACGCGGCGCATTTCAGCTGTCAACGCAGAAAATCTCAAATGCAAGCAGGAGAAAAATAATTGTGAATAACTTCACTACAAGCGGGTGATGGGGATATCTACAAGAGCCCCATCGCCCTCTCCCTTATCCGCCAGAGGGCAGCAGCGGCACGAGCGGGAATTTCAGAAGCGACCTATAACACAAACCAAGAGTAAAAAAAAAAAGACACTTACATCCAGCTCACTTTCTGAAGATTTCCACTCAAGAAGAGAATCAACCATGGAAGGGAAAAATAAATAGACTTATAGCCCAGAAGTGAAGAGGATGTGTCTATAGAATTTGCAGGGCGGCGCGGCATGGATGAAATACGTCGTGCCTGCAACCGTTACCAAGGATGCCGACAAAAAAAGAAAAAAAAAGAAAAAACCACCATCCAAAAAAAAGATTAGTAACTGCAAAGAAGGCAACTAAAAATAATATACACTCTCAACATGTAACTACGCACAGAAGTAGGTGCATATGCCCAAAGAGTCCCTCTGCACCCCATAGGCACAACCACGTTTTCTACGCAGAAGCTGCCACCGTTTCTCACTTGGCGTTACTCTTTGCTTGGTTCTCTGTCCGTGCGGCCTTCTTTGCAAGCACGCAGAGTTACTCCCTCTTTTCCTGATGTGTGTTTGGAAGAAGAGAAACCAAGCCAGAAACGTAAAAAAAAACAACAACAAAAACAACACAACAACAACATTATGAAATTCCAACTCACTTCGTCCGGCGACCACTCCCACACGGGGAATAGATTTCGGATAACGGAGCGGCAAGAGCAACGTTAGAATCACTGAAGCTACTTGAAACCGCAACAGCTGCAATTGTTCCCATAGGAGTGAGGACACAGCTATTTTTATTCTCGATTCTGTTATTTCCGTTCTTAACGTTGTCACGTATTTGCGAGCTACTCGACACACAGGGGGGAGCTGGTTTCCTGCAAATGCTCGTCAACCTTGCACAGGCTGTAGCCTTCAGCTCCGGCTGCGCTTCCGGCTTGCGTTGCGCAAACTTGTCCTTCGACGAGGGCTTTAATTCTGTCGGGTCTCTGTATTTAATGGTGCCTTCTCCTGCAAGCGCATCGTTGCGGCTCTGGCTGCGGTTGTACCCCAAAAGACCCTCCAACTTAATGGCAAGAGTCTGCGAACTCACACCGGTGTGCTGCACACGGCGGATGGCGCGGTTCCCGCTGCGCTCCACGCAGGCACACAACTCCTCCACATCACTGTTATCGACGTCAACGCCGAGCACAATCAATTCCTGTAGAGTTCTGTTACAATGCAAAGCCTCAAAAATGGGTAGCAGTGGACGACGGGAGCGGAGGCCGTTGGAGCTCACCTCGCCAGTGCGCAGCCGACGCATCCAGTGGTGGGCACAGAGGGGGTGCGTCACCGCCTCGCTTTGGTGTGACAAATCCAGAGACAAAAGTGTACGGTTATTTGCTAAGGCTTTACCAATAATACAAAGACTTTCCGCACTCATGTTGCACCCGCGTAGATTGAGCTTAGTCAAAACAGTCGCACCCGAAATTCCAACTGCTAAAGCCGTGACTGCCTCTTCGCTTAGGGGAATTTGCAGGTGGAGACTTTGTAGTTGCGCCGTCGGTGAACACAAGGCTTCCGCGGCTAGCCGAAGCGGTGCCGCCAGGGAGTGCGGCGACTCTCCACCCGTCGAACTGCAAGGAATTGTGCTGTAGCAGTCATGGAGAGCGAGGTGCCGCAGTTTGGTTTTACAGAGCGCCATTCGAAGAATAAAAAGAAGTTCTTCTGCAGAAAAGTCCTTCGCCTTGAAGCCACCGTATGTGAACGACAGCAATGTGTTCCCACGACTTGAAAGAAGCAGCTCAATAGAGTCTGCATTCATGGTTTGCGTCACTTTGTCATGAACGAGCGACTGGCATGCCCCTTTGGCTTCTACGCCTCGACCAACCGCCAATTCAGTCAGGGGAAGTGAGGAAGTGGCAAAGAATTTGCACACACTGCGTACGCCGCCGGCTGACAGGAAATTGTCAATAAGCGAGAGCCGCCGCATGGGCGGAGAGCTCACCCGAAGCGCCTCCAAAAGTACGTTGACACCCTCGTCTGTGATGCCGTTACCGGACAGCACGAGAGCCACAAGCCGACTCTCACGGGCAATGAATGGGGCAAACGCCCGCACACCGTCATCCCCAATACGCAGTTTGTGCAGATCCAGCGTCAGCGTCCTTCGAGCGCCATCCACGGCAATTTTTCCATTCAGCTGATTCATAAGCAGTTCACTGAGAGCCTCGGCTCCTTTTGGTCCAAGCGACACCCATTTGCCATAACACTTGCGCCACATTGGAGGCGGAATCACAGGTTCCTGCGGTGTGCAGCACTGAAAAAGATAGGCAAGGTATTTTGCCTCTAGAAGCCGGTTTTTAAGCACAATCGCGTCATCTTCAGCACTCTCACAATCCTCGGCGCAGGACGCAAATAAGCAGCAGCGAAGCAGTCTTCGCAGACGATTCTTCATGCCAGTGACAACAGCAAACACTCCCCGAAAATACAAATAGCGGGGAACAACAACAGCAGCCAAACAAACAAAAAAAACGATCGAAAGAGAAACAATTAAACCAATGAATATGTGTCTAATTGTGTTCCCTAATAATGATAACAATACAAATAATAATAATAATATTAATAGAGCTTCAGTGAACCCAAGACGCAGGCTATTGCTCGGATGCCTCTTTTCTCTCTGCCTCTCTTTTTGTGACAGGGAAGAAGCAACTCAGCCCCCTTCGTCGTATTTCCACCCTCTTCCACGCCCTTCCCTCGTCCGTCTCCTCCTTTTTCCTAAAGATCTTCTCCCTTGTGCGCAAGCACTACACCGTGTTTCTCAACGGCGCATCATACGTGCACGATCACCGTGAGTGAGAGGCAGGAAATAAAAAAAAATATGGAAAGAGAGATGCCGAGGCAAAGAGCGAGCAACAGCAGCAGAAAGACACAAAATATTGACGGCCGGCCATACGGAAGCAAGACATACACCAGAACAATTTTTTTTTCCCGCTTTTATCCTCTTTGTCAATACCGGATTTATTATTATCTTTTGTTTTGTCTGTTGTTCTTTTTAAACTCCTTTTCAGTTTCAAACATCATCAACACCAACAACCGCCTCCACCCTGCGTCAGGGTGTGCGGGCCTCCGTGAGGAGGCCATGACGCGTCAAACCTGTCTCTCTCTCCCTCTCTCCCGCGTCCGTCCATCCGGACGCAAGCAAGACGCACACAGGCCAATTAGACGTGCAAACCATCATCGAATGAGGCAGCTATGAGGTTGTTGATAGTCCCCTGCCTAGTTTTGGTGATTATTTGTCGCGCTCCCCGTCCCTGCGCGAGTTGCCTCCAGGAAGATGCAGCTCGTCAGGATCTTGCAGCCCCCCGCCAACCCCTTTTGCGGTTGACGAGGTGTAGCGCCTAAAACCCGGAGTTCCCGTTGGAATCGCCTCCGCAGTGCCCTCCTTGTCATTATTGTTACATTCGGGGTTACGCGTGGAGGAGGCCACACTACGCCATTCTATTTTTCCTTCCATCGAGTTGGCCACCGGACACCGTCTCTGCAGCTTCTCGGCAAACGCCATCACCTCCGCTTCTGACGCATTGGGGGCGTCGATGTAACCCACTACCACAGTTTCGTATCCAACCTGCGTGCCTGTACGCTTCTTCTCAAGTTGCATGGTTACAGTTTTGACGTCAATGCCTTCTTCCACCGCTACCTCCGCCGCATGCGACGCGGCGCAATGCTGCAGCAGCGCCATAGCTCCTGCATTTCTAGACGTGGCCTCTTTCAATGCCTCTTTGGCGGAAGCTACACGCTTCTTGAGGCGTTTCATAAAGCTAAGCCCCCGCAGCGCCTCCTCTGAGGCTTCTTTTGCACGTTGCTGTTGTTGTCGCAGTATCTCTTCATATGTCTCGCGGTGTTTCTTGCGCTTCTCTGCTATTTCCGGGCTCTCATCCAGGTAGGCACTCTTCAGCGAGTGGCCAGCCCTTTTTGCGGCATCCACGGACTCATTTGCGTGGAAATGCAGCATGGCGGGGATCTTCTTTAGCTCCTCACGCAGAACCCCCCATACCCCCAACGAACCCATCGAGCGGCGCATCGGCAGCGGTGCGAAGTCCACTGGGGGGCACCCAACAAGGACAGAGAGGTCGACGCACCAAAGACCAGCAACACCCAAGCACTCACCGTGGGAGAGACAGTACGAGAGAGAGGAAAGGCCGGAGACCAAGCAGGACGATTCGCTTTCGCCCGGCCAGAGCGCTTGGCAGACGCAGAGAAACAAATGCCAAAAACGACAAGCAGCAAAGCAAAGACAGGGGAGGGGAAGAAAGAGGCACAGTGACGGAATAGAAGCAGCCATAGTTATATCAGCAGCATTGGCATCGCGAACTGTTAAAAGCGGTGAAACAAAAAACCATGGGAAAGGAAAGGAAAGAAGGAAGAAATACATTATTAACCATTTTTTTTCTTCTTCTCCATTTTGCTGTTTTTCTCTTCCCCTGTTTCTTTCAGCAGCTGCGACATAAAGCGAGGGGGCTGGAAAGAAGAAACACGGGAGAGAGCGAGAGAAGGTGGAAGCAGCGTCCGTGCAATGGACACGAAAGGAGTAATCCTTCACGACACCCACGCATCACTCCGGTCCCAATATACATCCCGTTGCGTAAGCCCACACCTTGAATTTTCATCATATATATATTTTTGCTTTCTTTTATTCGTGTCCTTTTCGGCCGTCAGAAGTAGGCAGGGGCGACACGCATCCCCCCCATAAAGTGGCTGCAGGATACACAGATATACATGAGGAACACGCAACAGAGGCGTGACGAGGCGCACCAAGACCACAAAAGAAGAAATAATAAAGAGAGAAGGCGACATTCACACATCAAAGACATAAAAAAGGCCACCAAATAAGATGTGTGTTTGTGTGTGTGTGTGTGTGAATGAGCAACTCGACAATGCACTACACCAGCTACTATGAGTCTGTCTCGAAGAGGTCTCGTTGAAGCTTGAGAAAGGGCGCGTCTTCACCTGGGAAACACCTACACCTTGAATCGGGAACAACAGAGATTGTTTGCACGTCGTTGGAGTGGTGTTCCAGCATGTGCTGCATGAGAGATATCCGCGGCGGTACAGGAGGTGGTGGGCTGGGCTTGCTTCCAGCATGTAAGTGCGCCATATCGGCGGCATCCCCGGCGGGTAGCGCAGTAGTTCCCTCACCAACTCCCCTTACTATACTACAGGCGTCTCTCTCTATACCTCGCTGCGCCGCTTTGCCCTCCCAACGACCGAAACCAACAACTGTGGCGGTGCCAGGCGGGTCCAGGGCCGACGGGTGACTTTGCCGCAGGTAACTCAATACATGACAGACTTCAATTTGGGGCAACACCATCGCGGTGGTTGCCTCTTTGGTATTCGGATTTCTCACGGAAGCCGTGGGGCCTTCAACTGGGGAAGTGTGTGATGTATTATCCACCTGCATGCGGCTTGCGTTACCGTCACAGATGACCGGCCGTTTTCTTGGAACCAGCGGTCGCGAGGCCAATTCGGCAGCATACTCGTCTGGCACAGGTGTACGACCATCAAAAAATGCATGAGAAGAAGCAGTTTCCATAAGTTTTTTTCGCTCTACCCGGCGTTGCTGCTTCTCCAATTTTGTCATGTATGTGTTGTATTGACGTACCATGTCTTCGACTGCATCTAAGAGGGAGGTAGAAGAATGACGCGGGTTAAGTTTGATGTCCCCCTCCTCGTACAATTTCTCCAGCAGCGCACGCACAGCCGTTTCCGTGGCACTCTGCTTTGCTACAGCCTGCGCCTCCTCGCTGTTGTCAGTTATGAAAACCTCATGTTCATCAAGTGCACTAATCAACAAACCGGGTACATCACTGCTATTCAGGGCAACAAAGTGCAAGAGACGAAGAAGAGTGTCTCGGTCACATGCATTCAGTGCGGCATGATACTTTTTTGGCAAACCGCTGTGCGTCAAGGTGGCTCGCTCCTCATCACCCTCACCGCAGCGCTCTTTCCACAGCTGCAGGAGTCTAAGGCGCACGTCGCGAAGCAGTTTCCCTTGCTCCACTGAAGTCCTTTCCATCTTTGACATGTACAACTGAATGGTGTTTTCCTTATTGAGTAAAAGCTGCGCATGGTCGCTAAAGGCATTATTTTCAATACTCACCTCTGTACTTCGTTGAATCAGCTCGCTGAGGCTGTCGCGGACTTCTTTTTCTAAGGCATCCATCCGCTGTCGAAGTTCCATACCAAATTGTCTGCAAAGTTGAATCGCACTGTCCACCTCCACACGACGTTTTGCAGTGGTCTCTCGAAGATAATCGTCTGCCACCTTCACACGTGATCTTTGCTCATTGAGCACAGCCTGCATCGATTCCATCTTTTTCTTCCACTGCTGGATCGTGCGATGAACTCGTTGAATAAGCGAGGAAAACGCGTATGTAAGAATTTGCGTATTTTTCTCTACCTCATCTGCCTTCTCCACGGTGGCGTGCAGGTTCTTCTCGGAGAAGGGGCCCACACCATCCAACTCCTGCGTGAGTTCAAAGAAGAATGAGCGAATTCTCCTAATTTCCGGTTCCTGATCCGTATCCCGCCGCTTTACAGGTAAGTGGGGCTCCGTCAGGTGGGAGGCAGGATCCCTCGCACATGACAATACATCCACCTCGGTGGTGAAGGTTGGCGTGGTCAGTGGGATGTCAAGTTCAAGAATTCTATTTTCTCGTAAAACATCCGCACCAGTTAAATGCACACTTTGAAGAAACTCAGCGGTGGATTTGACCAACTTTTCCAAGGCGTTTTCTGCACGTGTGGTGATGGCATCACATTCACGACGCACCTTGTACAAATCCTCTTGAAGCTGTAGAAGATTGTGTCTGTGCGGCTCAAAGGCATCAATGGCAATTTCCGAGAGCAATGTTTTCCATTCCGCCTCATATTCCTTCTCGATGACAATACGTGCCTTTTCCTCAGCATTCATCAAACCTTGAAAAATTTTCCTCCCCTTTTTCTTCCCACCGTCTGGTGATCGTCGCCGCAGTGGTGTAGGCCCACGGGGACCTCGTATTGGCGTCGCATCCTTCCTTCCAGCCTTTGATGGAGGGCTGCGTTTGCCTTCGGGCCTCGGTGAAGACCGCTTGCTCTTGTTTGCCCCTGTGCTCGTTGTTGACTTGCCGCCCTGCGTCGCAGAGCCGCTGAGAAGCCTCGACGAGGCGGGGTGCGCGGCCCCACGGGTAGGCTTAGGCGTGGGAGAAGTCGTACCGCTGCCGGGGGAGCGAGCCGTGGAAGGACTTCTTGTGGCCAGCCGCTTTGCCCGTGGCGGGCTTGTTGTGCCCTTCGATTGCCCCTTCTCCACGCCGCCGCGCTTCCCCGCTGCCTTGGTGGCGCCTCGCACGGCGGACGTCGTCGCCGATGGGACGGAAACGAGCGAGGACAACCTCGACAGTGCGGGCTGGACAGCTGGCGTCTCATTCTCGGACTCGGTGAAAATATTCACTTGCACCCGACGGCGGGAGGAGGGCAGCGACGACGCAAAACGCCCCCTCCCCGCACTACCGAGCCCCTCTCCCAGCGTTGCAGGCGTGGCCGTGCGATCTGTGGGGACGGGGCTCGTGCGCGGCGGCGCCCCGGCACCCAGCGGGGCGGTAGGGATATCTGTCGACACCTCCATCAACTGCCGCGGCCGCAGCTGCCCTCTGCCTCTCACCGACTTCACCTTACTGCCCGCTGCGAAAGAAACAGACAGGGCACAAGGGAGTGAAATAACGGTAAGACAGGCACAGCGAAAATAATAACAAATAAATAAGTACACGGCAAATGTGAGAGCTTTAGTGAGACAAGACGGGTGCATGAAATGCAGCAGCCCCCACGAAGCAAAAAGTCGCAAGAACAAAGAAACATATAAACCACAAAAGGGGAGGGCGGTAGAGGAGAAAGGCTGAAATAGGGAAGGAGCCACAAATATCGCAATACAGAGTGACATGCGTACCCATATCAAACCATAACCCCACTCAACAGGGAGAAAAGGAGAGCACCTCCTGCTCCTATGTCACCATCACCACCTTTTTTCAAATCCTTTTTATTTTTCACCCTTTTGCGTACAAAGGGCTTCCTCTCTGTTCCCCCGCTTGCGGTTACGTTTGCTTATACACGTATAATCACATACATGAAGGCAAGCAAATATATATATATATATATATAAAGGGACATCTGCCTGTATGCGTGCACATATAAATATATATATATATATATATATCTGTAATGTTGTGACGTCGAAGAAGAAGCGAGGGAGAGCCAAACACGAACGACAACGCTCAAGCAGAATCACGGTACCAACACGGACCTGTACAAGTCAAGAAGAAAAAAAAACGACCAGCAATGGGAAAACGGAAACAAAAACTCACAACCAGGCACAGTGCGAAGCCCGAAAGTGAGAGGAAGGAAGAAGAAGAAACAAAAATAGAACAATGGACAATAAAATGTATTGCGCACACGTCATTCCATTCCTCTCTTCACATCGGCACGCTTGATTTGCAGTTCAGCCTTCACATGTACATTTTGCCTTTCCCGCCACTTGCTCTGCTTTCCATCCTCAAGCTGTTGGTCTCTACTGTGTGCGCCTAGCACCTGGTGGGCGACCCCGTCATTCGTGCCGCTTGTGTGCAAACGAACACCATTTCCCTTTATGCACTCTCAAGAGCAGACAAAGACACACACACATACACACCCACACACGCATAGAGACATAAAGTTACGCAAAAAAAGAGAGCCAAGAACAATAAAAACAAAAGCATTTTCTTTTTGGTTCGCCTTGCCCCTTACATCCCTCCGCTTCCCTCCGTCACGGTTCAGTAGGAATGGAAGGGGACGTTTGTGGCGGCGGTGCTTAGCTTCCGTTCATTGACCTAAAAATTGATAGCGTCTGAGGGTGTCTCCCCACGTGCGCCCCCGCCCTAACCATGACGCCTCGACGTGTGGAGGAACACGCAGAGAAGCACCGTTGTGCGCAGTTAAACGCAAAGAAGGGGGAAAAAAAAGATGAGCCACTATTTACATGCCCTTCCTTTTCTATTCTCTCTTCGCTCCTCCGTTTTTTTTTAAGTGCGCTCATTGCTTCACTCCACACCCAACTTCTTTCCTTCTCACTCTGCTGCTTATCATTCCCCGTTTCACGCATGCCCTCCTCTTTTTTTTTTAAGCGGCTCCCGGAAATCCCCACCTCCGTGTGCGTGGCTGAAAGGCGTCCTTGCACACGCACTCTCTCTCCCTCTCTTCTGCCGCACATTGCAGTGGCATGCAAACCTGAGAAATCAAGCACGCCCTCGCTCCCCCATTGAATGGATATACACATACGCGTGTGCCAGGCGCACTCTCAGACGCATCCAACGAAGTAAATCAAAGAAGCACAGCAGCAGCAACACTAGCGTCTTGTTGTTTTTTGATTGTTTGCTTGTTTTACCCGCAACATTGTTAAAACATCTCTGTATAGTTGTCGTAATAGACTAAAGCAGGGACCTAGATAGCCATCCGTGCACGCATCTCCAGCACAGTTCCCACCCTCCCCTGTAAGCTATTCCACGCGACTGCAATTCACGCTATTTCCGTCTATTTCTTTATGGATGTCCATCCACAGCGTTTTAGTACTCCCCTCCGTCGGCTATGTGGCAGTAAATGCGGGGCACACGCTTCTTGTGTGATGCCGACCTCTTACCATCCACATCGTCCTTCCGTGTCGTGCTCCTCTCTGCCATCGAGAGCAAATCCACCGGTTCCAATTCGTCATGTTCCACCAATACCGTCACACGTGTCGTGAAACGCGGCATTGGTGGCACGCGGCGACCCAGCAACTCCTCTCCCATGGTGGCAGCACCGGCCAGTTTTGTTGTTGCGGCGCCAGCCCCCTTTATCCGCTTTGCCCTCCGTGTCTTTGCCATTGCCGTGGTGGCCGCCGTATTGGTAAAGGGGGAGCTGGAGCTAAAAAACATTTCCTCCCCACACCGTGACCCAAGGGCGGGTTCACGACGTGGAATGCAACTCGCCACCACCGACAAGAGTGGCTTAAGTGCGAACGGCTTTGAAAGCAACGTGGCCCCATTCTCGCCATCTGCGGTTTCCTTTTGATTAAAGATTTCATCGTCTTTATTGTCCTCTGCGTTCGCATCGTTATTCAGACTTCGATCCATTGTCGCAAGAACATCCGCGACAGTCTTGGCACATCCGCTACCTTGCACCACGGTCAAATCTGCCTTGGGTGGATCATGAAATCGGACTCGCGTGATGGCGTGGTAGTCCTCCGGGACCTTGAAACGTTCTTGAGACTCACGTGCCTTTTGCAAGGCCTTGATTTGCCACTTATGCAGCGCCAAAAGGCGTTCGATGGGTGCCAAGGATGTGGTGGGTACGTCACGCGAGTTTTTTTCCAGTCTCTTGACCTTTCGACGGCGTGCTCCTCCTGTGGATTTCGTCGTGGATGGTGGCTTCGCCGCACTGTCAAGCAGCAAATGGGGCGGCGGCACCAACTGGTCCATGTCCCGAACGTGGATACACAGTGTGTGATTCGCCCGCTCCTCGGAAAGAACACGCTCTGCAATCTCTCGCCGCGCCACTGCCTCGTTGCTCGGACTGGCAGAGTTGCAATCCCTATGAAGCAGAGTGCCCACTCCGTCCACTCTGTACTCTGGCGCCGAGGGTGGAAGCACCGCCTGATCCACTTCCCTGAGGTAGTTGTCAATGGAGCGCTGGTTCTGCGGCAGGGCACAAAAGATGGACGCCACCGAGTCCGACAGCATGAACAGCTTCGTAATGCTTGCACGTTCCACAACCACATCCTCTTCGTCAAGGACTACAGAAACAGCACCATCCGTCGCCAGACGGTTCACATTCGTTGGTTCCTGTTTCTTGAAACGCATTGCATCGTTCGCTGGACCAGGCGATGCGGCGCCGTCAGCCACTTTTTGCGCGGACTTGCGTCGGTGAGGCGCCCGTGGCTTTTTAGTCCTCAGTGCATCTTCCCTCCCTGACGCCAAGTCAGTAGACGACGAGGACGCGGCGTTTCCGGCATTATTATTATTGTTGGCGGCGGAGGCAGGCGGAGCAACAGGGGCAGTGGAAGAAGAGACGCCCGCAGAGGCGGTAGCAGCCGGGGCGGCGACGTTACGCTCTCTCGCCATTTTTTCGCCAACCGCCCCGTTTCCTGCTGCTCCGCCACTCGCGGCTGCGGTGGTGGTGGCTGACGGCGCCGACGATGATGCTGGCGTTGTCTTTGTGCCGATGGAGGCACCAGCACCGGGTTTCTTTGCGCCGCCCGACTTCCTCCCAATAAACTTCGACGAGTGGAAGTATGCGGACTGCCACGTTGCCAACGCCCCCATCGCCGGGGCGGTGCCTCGCCACGCGGTGGCGATGGCAGCCGTTGGCGTCGCCGCGACCACGCTTACACAGCGCCGCATGCGGTTCAAGAACTGCGCTGCCGTGAGCCAAGCGGGGCAGGTGGCAACCCAATCGCTCCTTGTTTGATGACCGACAAGAAAAAAAAAGGAAATGAAGTCACACAACTAAAACAGGAAAACTTCTCTATGCGGTGTATATAAATAAGAAGGGAAAAAAACTGCAACAAGAAGGATAAAGAAGGGGACTTTGGCGGTGAGACG